GTGCCCATCTTCCTCCACTTTATATGGGACGCTGCCACAGCGTGGCCTGACAAGTGGTGTCTCTGTGCGCGCCCGGGATCCGACCCGGCGAACCCTGGGCCACTGCAGCGGAGCATGTGCACTTAACCGCTTGTGCCACCAGGGCAGCCCTTATTTTTTAAAAGTTTTAGATTTGCAGCAAAATGGAGTGGAAGGCACAGAGATTTTCCATATACCTCCTGCCACTACATGCCCACAGCCTCCCTCACTATCAGAATCCCACACCAGAGTGATACATTTGTTACAATGAATGAAGCTGTATTGACACATCATAATCACCCAAAGTCCATAGTTTACATTAGGGTTCACTCTTGGTGTTGTACATTCTATGGGTTTTGACAAATGTGTAATGACATTTATCCACCAGTATCATACAGAATAGTCTCACTGCCCTAAAAATTCTCTGCTCTGTGCCTATTCATCCCACTCTCCCCTCAGTGCCTGGCAACCACTGACCCTCTACCTTCTTCACAGTTCTGTCTTTTCCAGAATGTTACGTAATTGGAATCATATAGTACGTAGCCTTCTCAGATTGGCTTCTTTCACTTAGTAATATGCATTTAAGGTGGCTCCGTGTCTTTTCATGGCTTGATAACTCCTTTTTTTTAACACTGAATAATATTCCATTATCTGGATGTACCACAGTTTATTTACCCATTTACCTACTGAAGGACATCTTGGTTGCTTCCAAGTTTTGGCAATTATGAATAAAACTACTATAAATATTCATGTGCAGGTTTTTGTGTGGATATAATTCTTCAACTTATTTCGGGAAATACAAAGAAGTGTGACTGCTGAACTGTATAGTAAGAGTATGTTTCGTTTGGTAAGAAACTGCCAAACGGTCTTCCAAAGTGGCTGCACCATTTTGCATTCCCATCAGCAACGAGTGAGAGTTCCTGTTGCTCCACATCCTTGTCAGCATTTAGTGTTGTCAGTGTTTTGGATTTTGGCCATTTTAATAGGTGTGTAGTGGCATCTCGTTGTTTTGGCCTGTATTCTTCAAAAACGTCGACAGCATGACAAGAAAACTGAAGAAAAAGTCCAGATTAGACGACACTAAATAGAGGTGACAACTAGATGCAGTATATGAGCCTGGACTGCACCCTGTCCACGGGAAAAAGTGCTACAGAAGACATTATTGGTACAGTTGACAAAAATGGAATAGGGAATGCAGATTAAAGTCTTCTCTCAGTGTTAAATTTCCTGAATTTGATCATTGTCTATAGTTTCATTCTTAGGACACACCTACTAATAGATTAACGGGCAAAAAACACAGATGAATGTAAAGAAAGGAAATGTGGCACAAGGTTAGCAATTTGTGAAGCTCGATGAAAAAAGGTATATAGGAGTTCTTTGTACTATACTTGCAACTTTTCTGTAAATGATTTCAAAATAAAAAATGCAAAGAATTTTTTTAAAGTGCTGCTTTTAACATTCCATCTATAGCTTTTGATGCACACATACAAGTTTCTGGGTATGTTCTGAAGAGTGGAATCGCAGAGTCATAAGGTGTGTGCATCTTCAACTTGGCTAGCTAAACCGTTTACAACGCGCCATGGACATTCTTAGGTAAGGTGGTCAGCAGGGCTATCAAAGTGTAGGCCTTGGACCGGAAGCATCAGCCTCACCAGGGTGTTGGTTAGAAATGCAAATCCTCAGAACCCCACCCCAGACTTGGTGAATCAGAAACTCTATGGCCCCGGCCCAGGAATCTGCGTTTTCACAAGTCCTCCAAGTGATTATAAAGCTTAGCGGTAACCTAGGATCCCTTAGGGCCGCGCCTGGCTTCCAGACGGCCCTCTCCAAACCAATGAACAGTGGAGGCCCGGAGCACGGGTTAGATGGTGCAGGAACCAGAGGGCTGCGCGCCTTCCCCACGGTACCCTCCGCGCACCGGCAGCTTCGTCCACTTCCCCCGGCTGGGTGAGGAGCGACGGCCGGACGGGGCGGGCCGGAGGCTGGCGTCCCCGCCTCCCAGGCTTTCAGCCCGCCGCGTCGCGCCGTCCTCCTCCTTCCTTCCCTCCTCACTCCCTCCTTTCCTTCCTTCCTTCCGCCGGGCGCGATGGAGCCGGGGCGCGGGGCGGCCGCGGCGCTGCTGGCGCTGCTGTGCGCGGGCTGTGCGCTGCGCTCCGGGCGCGCCCAGTACGAGCGCTACAGCTTCCGCAGCTTCCCGCGGGACGAGCTGATGCCGCTCGAGTCGGCCTACCGGCACGCGCTGGACCAGTACAGCGGCGAGCACTGGGCGGAGAGCGTGGGCTACCTGGAGATCAGCCTGCGGCTGCACCGCCTGCTGCGCGACAGTGAGGCCTTCTGCCACCGCAACTGCAGCGCGGCGCCCCAGCCCGAGCCCGCCGCCGGCCTCGCCCGCTACCCCGAGCTGCGCCTCTTCGGGGGCCTGCTGCGCCGCGCGCACTGCCTCAAGCGCTGCAAGCAGGGCCTGCCTGCCTTCCGCCAGTCGCAGCCCAGCCGCGAAGTGCTGGCCGACTTCCAGCGCCGAGAGCCCTACAAGTTCCTGCAGTTCGCCTACTTCAAGGCAAGTCCGCTCGGTCTCGCGGCCCCGGCCCCGCCCCTCCAAGGGCCCCGCCCCTGGGCTGTGGCCACGCCCCTCGACCTGCGCCGTGTTCCACCGCCCTCTCTGGACCCGGCTCTCCTACCCAACCCTGCCAAAGGACGCCCCCAAATCCTGCCCCTTCCTCTTCATATTAAAGAGAGATGAAAATACTTTTCTGGAAGCCTTGTTCTGAGGCAGAGAATACGTACATACGTACGTCTAGCACGTACGTCTGGCAACCAACAAAGTGCCTGATAAATGTTACCTGTTATTTGAAGACCGACTCCTTTTTTCTGTATATAGCATTAAAATCCGCTTTTCTCAAGTGAGTGGTGACTTTAAATAATAGAGCAGAAGAGGACGCGAGGACCCGGCTAGAGGAGGAAGTTGAGGCCAGGATAGGGCCGGGACTGTTGGTTGGACACATCCCTGCCTAGGGGAGCGGAACTTGTGCGTCTGTGCTTCCTCAGGGTTGGCGCTCTCCGCTCTTTCTCCTTCATCTAGAATGTAACACAGTTGTCTTCCTCCTTTTTGTGGCTGCTTAAATTATGTCTGTGATTGCTGGCTAAAAATAGCCACAAATTGCAGTTCTCTATCCTGTGAGTCCTTACTCTGGGGACCCACAAGTCTTAAGAATGGCCTCAATTCCCTGTTACTGGATAAAGAGCCTTTGAGGATCTTCACCGGGTTTGCCAAGAGAGCCCTCTCAAAGTCTAGTTTCTACTTTATCTAATTGAAAATGATTTTTAAAGGAATATATTGCATTTATTTTAATGACTACAAAAATAGATTCGCAGCATATCTCACACTCTGGAGGTAGAAGTTGGTTGTGTTTTTTTTTTTAAACTTTGCTTTGAGTCTTGGGCTGCAAGATCTGTTTTTCATATTTCCTCTGAGACAGAGCCACGTGTATGTTGCATTCATATGAGCAATAAAATAGCACAAGACGGCAAATAGCAGAAAAGCTGGGTTATTTCTATGCTTAGTTCCTGTTTTACACAAAGTATCAGTTTTGTGAATGTTTGTCCTGGCAATAAAAAAACAGTTTTAAAATAGAACGGGGGATAAGATTAATAAATTTCCAGGACACTGAAAAATGATGGCTGGCTCATACAAGCACTATTTTTTAAGCTAAAAATGACTTGTTTAATTCTCTCTCTTTTTTGTATAGCTTTTGGCAAATATAGTCTGAACCAAATTTGAGTCACATAATCAAGGAACAAACGTTTTATTTTTATTTATTTATTTATTTTTTAAATTTTATTTATTTATTTTCCCCCAAAGCCCCAGTAGATAG